CGCTAAGCGGGAAACCTGGGCTAGGCCGATGCTAGAAGCGGCTCGGGTGGGCCAACTACGCCTCACCCCGCTTGAACTTCTCGGGGAAAACCACACCCGTTTGTGTGGCTTGTTTGCACTATCTGAGAAGATTCTGGGCACTTCTACTTGCATGTGCGCCACACCTTAAGCATATGTAAGTGCCCTTACTTGATATGACCATATCGTGTGATGGGTCAACATAGCGGGCACCTATGAACACATTGGAAAAGGGAACGGGCACCCTCGATCCCTGCACGAGGCTGGGCGCTCACACAGGGAGTGGCAAGAACATCCTGGGAGGCCCTGTTACCGTGGGAATTCGTAGAAATCACGGAACAGCACACACTGCACGCGAAACGACATGTTAGTCCCGTCTCGCCTACTGGAATCATGGTGTGCGCACTCTCACGCAACATCCTAGCTAGCTTCGGACGAGGGTTGAAGCTGGGCCCCGACTTCTTTTTGCGTTTGCTCGGACTCGGGGCCTGGCCAGGGGTCCCGAAGAACCGGAAAACCTCGAAATACCAATATCGCAAGCACGCGTCCTCACTGCACGTGTCAAGCTCAAGGCGATCTGGACTGTCTCGACCACTCCAGGTGCAAGCTGTGTCTGCTTGGACATGGTCTCCGCCAACTTGTCTGCGATATGAGTACCAACCCACGGGAACCACAAAACTTCTTTTTCAAGCGGCCTGCTGAGGCGACATGTGCGACTCGATCTTCAAGACTGTGGTAGTCTTGACTCGTAGCAGGCGCTGGACACGGCGCCATTCACTCCGATGTTGGTCTGGAAATATGCCGAGCTCGATGTTGGCGACGTTTATTACAAATTACGAGGGGTCCGTGACATAGATGAGAGCGTGGCCCAAATGGGGCCTCCTCCAGGAATTTCAGAAACGCGATGAGCTCCCCGTGATTGATGGATTGGGTCCCCCAGGTGCCCCCAGAAGACGTCCGAGCAGTTCTGGGGTCAGGAGCGGGATCGGAGATATCGAAACCCTTGAAAACCATATAAGCTCACGAGACACGCCTAACTCTTGGGTCTCCTGAGAACTTACCTCCAGAGGCGTCTCCAGCTCCAACGATAAATTCAAGCCCTTGTGGGAAGTCGCCGAAGGCGTGGTATGAAATCTCGGCTTCGTCAGGAGGTCTTGGAACATGTGTCCACCCCGAAGGAATTAGACCTCGAAGCCACAGTGCTGGTTGCGCCTCGACCTGGGTCCTTGCCATGTGCGCGTACAAATTGCAAATTGCTGCTGGCGGCTGAGAGTAAGCCGTTATTCGCAGTGCATTCCCGAATCCTGTGAAAGGTAGTCTCGGCATATCCTCCTTCGCAGCGGTCGCGCAGCTCTGAACAATCTGGCGGGTCGATGACGTCTTTAATTCTCAGTTTGGCCCATTGGCCTCCACAGCAGACGTTGGTAAGGGCTCCTGCCCACCGATAATGTTCACGATCTCTAGCTCGTCGAATGTGTTGCCTAACGTCCGACAGGTCGATACCATGCTCGATGTTTTCGCTCTCGTAATGTTTAGCTGCGCGTTTCCATAGCATGCGACGAACTGACTCGGCTAGATCTTCTCGAGTATCTTCTAGGTCGAGGGGCCCCGCTTCGAGGATCTCTGGAGTAGCCTGATAAACATTCCCAGGGTCGGGTACCCAATGCATAGGCCCCACAAGATCCCAGCTGATGTCGAGCAAGGTGTTCACAACGGCCCTCGCGGGGCCCTTGACGTTTCGCCATCGATGGTGAGGGTTAGCTCTCGCTCGTGCAACATGCTCCGCCCAGTCTCTGGCCGCACAAACTCTCTGCTCGGCGCCTGCTGTGAGGATTGTCATCCAGCTGTCGAGCATCTGGGGGAAAAAAAAACTTGACTGATGGCGGGGTCCTGCTCATTCATCCCCAGCTGGAGCAGGGTGTCCAAACAACGCCCTCTGTCAGCAGCTGTAAAAGTACCTCCCATAGCTCTTCTCCATGACTGGATAGCTGATGGGCTCATGCCGCACACGTGCGCGTCATATTGAACTTTTGCCATGCTACCTCTGTGTATAACACGCCGTGCTGCGCACCTGCCCGTTCTGCCTGCACCTTTAAGCTTTTTTGCGTTGCTGACTTGTTTCCATGCCGCGATTCTTCTAGCTGCTACCTTAGGACGAGCTCGCATGTTAGCGCCACGATCGACCCCAATATCCACAGCTTTCCGAGCGACAGTAATTTTGATGCTATGCTGAGCGGGCCCACGTGCCAGTTCGGTAGCTAGCCCTTTGTCCCCTGCGATGATTTTGCTTTTGCTTGCCACGCTGAGGTGCGCCTTGCTGCAAAGCCTGCCTAGAAGGGAACCCGCCTTGAAGAGGGCCTGCGCGAGAAACCTGTCGGAGCCGAAAGCGTATTGAGTGATATCGTACACCCAGGAACTAGTGATGACCGTAGGGTAGTACTTGTTGTGCACGGCTTTCAGAATACTATATAAATAAAATTTT